TGATAAAGTGTCCTGAAATTTCTGTCATTTTACATGGTAGTGTCCTTACAGAAACGGTTGCTTCGTTCTTTTTACCAGTTGCATGATGTTCCTCAAATGACAGGGTTACGGCTTATTGCCACAAGTGTATTTTATGTCCTTCTTTGCCTGTTTTCGACTCCTCTGCATTTACCATCGTTGTTTTCCCAAATTTTTGGCCCAGATTACTTTTCAATCTTACCTGTAGTGTTGTTTTCTTAAGAATTTGTACTCGGGCTTAAAATATATATATATATATAGTAAAATTTGTTAATGTGCTCCCTTTCCAATTTTGGTGTTTACAACTTACGCATGTGTTACTGGGATTTAAATCCAAGGCTTTTGGAACTACATCTTCAGTGCTTTTTGTTATTAATCATTATCATCATTTTATTATTGCTACTCTTATTAATGTTACTATTAAACTGGGCTAAACATACAACCCTCGTATTTCAGTATCACAGAGTGCCTGGATAACAGGTGTACAGTGTTACTGTCTTGCTTAGTTACAGTGAAGCTATAGTCACAGTACAGCTGTCTAACAAAACCCTGTGCCTTTCAAACTGTAATCATATCTCCTCATTCTTACGTCTGTAGATTGATTGAATTCTAGCCTGGACTTAGTTTATGCCTTCTCCTGGACCAGTGGTCAGTGACCAGCGGCCAATGGTTTGTTCTTTTCATGACCATGGCAGATGCGTGGGATGCTTCATGTCTTTGCTCACATCACATCAACTAATATCCTACTGGGAAGCAACTAGCGGGGCCAAACTCAATATTGATGGGGCAAAGAAATATACTTAGGTCACACAGAGAGGAGAAAGGAATAAATATTACACCCCCATGATTTTCTTAAAGTGATCTTACTTTTAAACTGCTTTAAAAATAGGTTTTATTTGTACTGATTTCTATGTGTGTCAATATGTGTATGACAGGGATCTAACATTTAATAAGCGAGTAAGCCAGGAGGTGGACAAGTAGACTACAGCAAAGGCAGCGTTCGTCATGCAGAGTGGGGAAAGCTGCTGCCTTCTACTTGCCAGACCAGAAGCTGGTGCTCTGGGTGGAGGACTGCAGTGGAGATTCCATCCGAGTTAGAGAATTGATCATGGAGTGGATGGTATGGGTCCAAGTCTAGGAAAGCTTATCAAATTAACAGGCTTGTATCTGCTTTAGAGCTCCGGTTGACACAGAATCCTATTTAGGCTTTTTATGTGACAAAATACAACCTTGTTACAGAAAGTCTACAGGAAGCCAATATTAGTGGACAAGGGGTAACTTCAGGTTTAAATATAAGAAACAAAAAACTAGAAAAGAGACATTTGGATAGGCTCTTTTTGTTTTGTTTTGTTTTGTTTTTAATATGTGTTTGTCCTGGAGAGGATAACAATCAATTATCCCTCCCCTCCCACCCTAGATTTCGGGAACTGGAGGGCTGCTGCATGTTTGTAAGCTGGACAGACCAAAGTAGATGGCTTCTCAGACTGCTAAGAGTTTGGCTCTCCTTCAAACCCACAGACTTGAAATAGTCATTTGTGTACTGGGGAAACTGATCAATTCACGTTGAAGAGTAGGCCATCAGGGGCAGGGCTCAGCTACTCCTTTACCACACTGAGCTATTTTGCTTGACTTCGAACTTGCATACTTCCTTTAACAAAATGAGACCTCCCAGTTAACCAGACCCACCATTCTCAGGAAACGGACTCGTCACAGAGATCATAACCTGTACTGAGAGACAAATCAAATAGACCTTTGTTTTGGAGATAGCCTAGTTTTGTTTTTTTTTCTTAAATTCTTTTATTGGTACATTTTAGGTATACACTACATTTACATTCATCATTGGGAACTTGTACCTTTACGTGATATATCTTGCTTCTTATTTTTTCCCCTTTCCTCTGTCCTTCCTTCGATCCCTCCACCCATCCCTATTTGCAAAGGCTTTGTTTCTATTTATTTCCTATCTCGTATTTTTTCCTTTCCCTTCTTTCCTTTCTCCCACCCTTCCCTCTTCCCCTACCCCTTTGGACTTTTCTTCCTATTTCACATTATCAATTATTCTTTTTAATCCTTATTTACACCTTCAGTTTCTCATACCAGAGAAACTATTCTGTATTCATATGCATGTGTCCTATTTATTTCACTTTAGAGTATGTCCTCAGTGTGCATCCATTTACCTATAAATGTCTCTAATTTATCATTCTTATGGCTAAGAAGTACTCCATTTTATTTAAGCACACACACACACACACACACACACACATTTTCTTTAACCAGTCTCCAGCTGATGGGCACTTGGGCTGTTTCCAAGCTTTAGCTACTACAAACTGTGTTTATATCACTATGGTATGATTCTTTTAATTCTTCTGGGAAGATACCAAGTAGAGGAATAGTTGGGTCAAATAGAACCTTTAATCCTAGTTTTTTGAGTTGATTTCCCCAGAGGTTGCACCAGTCTGTTCTCCCACCAGTGGAGAAGGGTTCCTTTCTCCCCACAACCCTGACATGGCCTAGATTTTGCTGCTCCCCAATGCAGATTGCTGTCCAATCTAATAGCTCTTCAAAGCACAACTGAACCCTTGATCCACCACCAAAGAGAGATGATAGCTTCAGAAGTCTGAGATCAGCCACAGTGGCTTCTAACTTGGACCAAGGCTAGCACTCACTCTGATTAACAGAATGGCTGTGGCAGAACCTCAACAACACAATGACAAGATAGTAAGCTCTTCCACTTTAGAAGCCTGATTTACAATACCTTCCTCATGAGATTTCATGCATCTTGTCCTGGTCCCCACTGCCTACATGCAGAAATCAGATCCAGCAGGAAATAGTCCTGGGATGGTGTTATTTATTTCTCTTTCTTGTGTACCTTATCTTTGGGGGAATGCAGAAAGATTGCAGGAATAAAGTATAGTGGCATTTGGGATTTTGTGAGGCAGAACTTGTCACCCTTTAATACTTATGGAGTTTTTGGAAAGCACATTGCCAGGCCTCATATCTGCTCTGCATGGCCTTTCAGAAAAGCTCCCTGAAATACATTTTTCATTATCTCCCCATTTCTTGAAATTTTACAGCATCCTTCTCTTGTGTGTCTTGGGTGATTTCCTACACGATTTCCTCCGTTGTTTGAATGGGGCCTTACAGGTTCATCAGGGACTCTGAAGCCAAAGCTTCCATGCTTCCAATATCCTTCTGAAGGCCTGAAAGCAGCCTTGGGCTTAGAATTGGAGCAGACGGGGAATCACAGAGAACTCAGCATTCACTCTCTATATGACCCAAGCTGGGCAAGGAGCCCCTATTGCAGGAGGCTGGGCGTGCACGGGGCCCTGTGCTAAATGCACAGTGCAGTTTCATCACAAATCCGTTCCCTTTATTAAGAGTAAGTGATCTAATACTTTTCATCAGGCTGTGGAAATGCTTAGCTATGACACTTTGTAAACACGCTAGCATTGGCTGAAATAAGAGAAGCAAAGGATTATATCTAGTTTAGCAACAGGCTATATTTGGAATTAGGGCTTTATCAATAAAGGCGCTGCCTTAATATTCTGTCTTCTGGTTCCATTTAAATGATCTTTTCTTGACCCACAATTATTTGCTTGGATCAAGTATTGGTCAAGATTCTTTCAGTTGCAGATAATGGAAACCTAAGCCCTCCCTACTTGAGCAGGAAGGAGAATTTGAATGGGGTTAGACTGAGAGACTCCAAGGGCTCCCTTTACACCACCATCGTTTTTCTTACTCTTCCCTGCCATTCATTTCCTCCCCCTCAAATTGGCTCAGCTTCTTTCTGAGTTGGTCTTGCTCTTTTCTCCTGTAGCTTGAGATGGTGGTGAAGAGGCAGCTGCTGTTGTTGCTGCACAAAATGCTCTGCTACTCACCAGAAAGAGACAAACGCTC